TTTCCTCTCCCTCCTGCCGGCTGAGCCTTAGGTGGCAGAGAACCCGCGGCCTGTCTCTGTCAGGCACAGACGCTGGCGCGTTCCGCGGCCAGCGGACTGCTTCAGCTCTTTGGATGCTCATTGACACTTGTAGCATGCATTGGCTGGCCTATCCACGGGTGATTACACACGCGTGGCAAAGGACGAGCTCGCGGTTATCCCTGACCTGATGTTTCCGCCGAGAGAATCCTGCCTTACGTAACGGTGTCTATGGAGCGGATGTCAGCGCGTGCGTTCGAAAGCTGCATCAACACCCCACCTCGCCATCCCCTCGTCATTAGTAACTACGCCTTTTCACTGGTCAATCGAACCAAACACAAAAAAGTTCCTCCCTGCTCTGTGTCTCTCTCTCTAGACACCGTCGTTCTTTCCTGACTTACGCTGGTTCTCTATGATTCATAGCTGCTGCTATCCTTTTCCCGCGCGCTCAGCTGCTACCTTGTCATGCTCCGTCTGTCGGACTTGACCTGGCAGCGTCAGATCTATGTACTTTTGTCGACTCCTAGTCCTGTGCACATCCTCCCCGCTGGAGAGTGAATTACACTCCGCACCCGCATCAAACAGTGTCCTCCGTCGTCAGTCGTCTTGCATGTGGCGTCGATCTGTATCTGTTTGGTCTTCGTGCAAACCCTTCGATTCTCTCTTTTTCTCCGTCTCCTTCCGTGCATTCCTGCTTCCCTTGCTCCCTCCCTTCCTCTCTTTCCTTTCCCCCTTCGCCTCCGCTTCTGCCCTCCTCGCTCCAATCGAACGTCTTGCAATCTTTTCGCGTCCTTGACGTCCGTGTCTTTTTCACCGCTGCAAACGCTGCCGAGGGCGTAGGCTATGGTCCGCAGCGTGCAGTCCAGTCTAGTCCCGTGCCCACAATCTTGCCGATCATGAGTGCTCGTTTGCCCGCCATCTGAATCCACACTGAGATATGCTGAACGTCGTCAGCCCCTGGCTATTCCAGCTCTGTGTACACCTTTTGCGCGTAATCACCCGCTTTTCTCCTGCTGTGCCCCCCCGTATTGTGCCCATATTGGTCAGCCAGTCCAGAGCGACAGCTTCGCCCGCGCGCTGACCGCTGCCCCCCTCTCTCTTCTGACAGTGATACTAGATAGAGCTCGCGAGGTTGAGAGAGAGAGAGAGAGAGAGAGAGAGAGAGAGAGAGAGAGAGAGAGAGAGAGAGAGAGAGAGAGAGAGAGAGAGAGAGAGGTGGGAAACAAGTGACGGAGAGCTAGCGCGCGTCTAAAGAGAGACGAAGCGAGACAAAGAGAGAGGGTGTCCTCATGATGTCACTTCTCCAGAGATGTCTGCTATCAACGAGCTCGCCTGGATGGTAGCTGCAGTGGATGGGGTCAACTCTGTTGAGTCTTGCGGGTTTGCGAAGCTTCGCTGTCTGTGGACAGTAGCAAATCCGTGTGTGGCTATTCGGCATAGCATTCATTTTGGACCCCCTGTCTCTTCGTTCTTTATGCGAATAGATCCTGGTGCACCATTCTATACCAGCGAGGTTTCCCCGCGCGACTCTTCGGTCGCCGCCTGATCCTTTTGCACCTCTCCCTCGTCTTGATCGTACCTGGTCGAGAATCGCTCGCAGTCGTTTGTCAAGATCATGGAGTGGGTGGTTTCTTGGATGGCGTCGTCTGAACCCTGCGTGTCGCTGGATGACTTTCTTTCCACGCGTTCTCCTCGTTCTGGTATTGTTGGCAACTCAAAGATTGATTCAGCGGCGGGAACTGCCGGGGGCTGCCAGGTCAGCAGCGGTGCCGGTGCTGCTGCCACTGCGCGCGTGATGGAATGCGCCCATGTCCGATCTGGCCAGAGTCAAGCCTCGCGATCGGGAAGTATGAGGAGGGCGAGGATGGCGGCGGACTTGAGGGCTGCGTCGACAAACTCGGCAAGATTTAGGATATGGCGGGCGCTGTTGTTCTTCTTGGCATGTGGGTTCCTCGGGGTTGCCTGCGGAGACGACGCAGGAGTTCGATCGTGGTGTATTTTAAGATTCGACATTGTGGAGGAGGAGTCTTTGTTCCGACGAGTGGTGGTCCCGGATGTTGACACGTGGCATTCCCAGAGCGATTCGGATGGCAGAGAGGACGGGAGCTCGTCACCCCTTCAGATGCAAGGTGAGTTTGTGCCTCTGCTTTTGTTTCGTACCTAATTGCTTAAGCATTCCCGAGGTGGTGATTGGGGGGGGCCGCACGCGTCGCTATGCTTTCACGACACGTGGCCATCCACCGTTAGCGCATCGAGGGGCAGATCTTTCCTTGGCACCAAGGATTGGCGTGCGTCTTGTGCGTGCTTGTAAAGAACGCGGAGGAGAAGGCGGGGAAGGGGTGGAGTACCTGATTATCACCGCAGTATTGTTGGTCAGCATGATTGTTCGCTGGAAAAAAACTGAGGGCAGACCATGTTAAATGAACCTCCAGTGCTCTGCCGATGGGTGCCAGGTGTCTCTTCCAGTGTTGTTTCTAGTGTTTTAGACACTTTACGATGGGTGAGGGTGGGAAAGAAACGGGGAAGGAGGACAAAAAAGCGAAAGAACGGTGCATTACGTGTAGCGGTGTTTCTATGTTGTACATTTGTGACCAGATGGTCTTGACAGTCGTAGATATACTGTGATGATGATAGTGTATTTGAGAGCTAACTCAGCTCTCTCCTTATGACCTTGAGGTGGCGTATACGAGCAAGACGAGGGTATGGTCCTGTGTGTTTTCTCTGCATAGACTCCTTGTTGCGGTGAACTATCTCGCCGTCCTTGGATTTTTTTTTGAAACACGTGTTGCGAAACGAACCACCCGCGCGTGGTCAGCATTTTCCTTTCACGTCAACGATTATTGCTAGTCATCTCCTTGCTAACATGTGTACCTCTTATCGCAGCGGCAAACCGCGAATGATCTTTTCTTCTGTTTGTCGCGGGAAATCTGCGTCCGATCGGGAAAAGGGAATTGTTCTCTCCGACGTTTTCTCTCTCTATTTCTTCCCTTTGGCGCTTCTTCATTTTGTAGGGCGATGGTGCTCTGCGCTTGTTTTCGTTTGCGCTTTGTCCTCTCTCCCTCTCTCTCTCTCTTCCTCCCTCCCCACCTTTTATATTTTCCCAGTTCTGCCACGTCTCTGAACTTCCGTCTTTGTTCCCGGATTGTTTCCGTTCTCTCTCTCTCTCTCTTCCTCCCTTCCGTTCATACTTCCGCCCTTTCCAGTTTTGGCGTGATGCTTGAATCTCCTTCATCCAGCTGCAAGGAGATCACAGCCGAAAGGATGTCTGAATATGAAGGGTATAAAGTAGTGTAAACCAATCTGTGGGCCGTGGGCACGTACGATCATGATAACGAAGTGGGAGGATTATAGTAAACAGATATATGATATGATAGCGGTAGATAATACTTTGCCCTGGAACTAAGTCCGCTCCTCCGTGTCTTACCTGATGCCTACTCTTGGTGTTAACAGGCTATGAATGGTGCGTCGACAATGTCTCCGTTTTAAACCTCGTTTGCGGCACTGGTGGGTCTCGGAATTGACATTGATGATATCGTCATCGATCATCTTGATTACAAAAAGCAAGGACGATTAAAACTAATGAGAAGTGACTAGAGTTTCAGTAATGAGGGATCATCAGTGTGGAGAGGACTAAAAACGATATTGTTGATCTTACGAAAGCAGCGCGAGGAATCAAAAGAGAATACAAAGTGCAGCAGAAGCATCAGCAGCAGCACGCTCACGCGCGCGCGCGAGAGAGCAACTCAAGGAATCACAAGAGAGAAAGAGAGAGAGAGAGAGAGAGAGAGAGAGAGAGAGAGAGAGAGAGAGAGAGAAAACGGTAGCTGTAGTGAATGTACTCACCTCAAGAAGAGGGAGCACCTGTGTGTGCTCTTGCAGTTCTTTTACCTTGTCGATAGTGAAAAGTGCATAAAGGACGAAAAACACTAGAACTTCGGTCGATGTGCAAGTGGCCGCAATTCATCATTTTGGACGGGAAGCAGAAGTACAACATCAAAAAGGAGAGACTATCGATCACAGTAGGAGCGTGCGGTGGACTGTGCGGCGGAGTAAGACGGAGTAAGACTTCTCATTAAGTAGCTGCCCTGCCGTTGGCTCTCCTGTAGTTGGTGGCGCATTTGTATGTGACAGATAAGCAAAGTATAGTCCGTTCATGCTAATAATATGCACGTGATGGGTTCAAATCCTGTCACCTTGATTCGAAATCAGAGTGAAGTAGACCACAAAATGAATCTCGGCCACTCTCGCATCATGTATGTCTACTATTTTTAGGTAGACCACAACAAAATTGAACTTCAGATTTTCTTCTAGGATTTGCGGCGCCTGTTTAACAGATACTGTTTTACGTTGGGGTACAGTACACCTGCTGAGGACGTTGTCGACCGAATGTGGCCGGCCGCAGCTATCCCGAGCGTGTTCTTGTCTCCCAAGTATATTCTCCTTTTCAAATTTCGTGAAAACCAGCTAACATTTTTTTTTTTGTAATAGCTCGACATTTATCGAAACCTGTGACTGTGAAGTTAACCAGTTTTCTTGTCTCCCAAGTATATTCTCCTTTTCAAATTTCGTGAAAACCAGCTAACATTTTTTTTTTTGAAATAGCTCGGCATTCAAGTAGTAAGGTGAGTACTGTGTGTACTATAGATAGAAGAGGTTCTGAACAGGTGGAGTTGTAAGGAAGAAGATGAAAAATGAATTGATATTTTTCTGTTTCCTTTGTTTGTTTTTGTCGTTTTTGCGCTCTGATATCTATGTGACGATATATAGAAGTGCATTGATGGGGCTTTCCTTACTTCTTTTTCTTTTTCTTGTTTCGTCTTTTTCCGCCTTTGCGCTCCGATTTCCAGTGTGTACTATATATAGAAGAGCATTGATAGTACGCTTATCGTCGTAGGGCGTGCGTTAGTGACTGGCAGGCATCGAATTTTGAAAGGCTGGCTCTTGCTATTTGTTCGTGGAGGGATTGTACGCAGTGTTGAAGATCACCAGGGTCTAAATTTCAATGAGAAAACTATTTAGTAGCGTTGGATTCGGTTTATGGAATACCAGGGTCGGTCTAAATTTCAATGAAAAAGGGACTATATCATTTGTTGAAGTAGAATGGCAAAGACGAAATTAAGAGTCCAGTAAAGTGAAAGTGATAATTACTGTCTCGTAAAATGATAGCGTAACAGAAAAAAAATAAAAATAAAATGATAGCGTAACAGAAAATTCTGAGTGGTGATTGCCTGTGCAGTAGTGCACGGCGGTTTATTTTTGGATTTCATAACAATCATGACATGATAATAGGATGTAAGAAAACTATAACGTGTATGTAATAATAATATTGTAAGGGGAGAATTGAATTTAAATAGAGAACACGTCAGCGACGGGATTAGCGTCTCCGCAGTGCGTCATCTCCTCTTCACGGCTGCATTTGGAATCTCTCGTTCTTTTTTTGTGTTCGTCAGTCATTGCAGGAATCGCAGAACCTGCACTCAAAAAAAGAAGCAATACTCTTTTTGAAAAAGAGCATGGCTCGTCAGGTGAAAGACAGTCACAGAATACTCGAAGATTATTTGTGTTCGTCAGTCATTGCAGGAATCACAGAACCTTTCGTGTGCAATCAAATTGGAACGAAAAACATCATTTCGTCAAATCTGTAGATCTATTTTCCAACAAATTGAAAAATGCAACTATGTGAAAGGAATTCGAATTGGTTGTTCAGGTCGAAACAATGGTGCAGAGATTGCTAAGACCACTAAAAAAAAAACAATACTCTATGAAATTTGAAAAAGATCATGGCTCATCAGATGAAAGACGGTCACAGAATACTCGAAGATTTTTTGTGTTCGTCAATCATTGCAGGAATCGCAGAACCTGCACTCAAAACAAGAAGCAATACTCTCTTTGAAATTTGAAAAAGATCATGGCTCATCAGATGAAAGACACTCACAGAATACTCGCAAGATTTTTTGTGTTCGTCAGTCATTGCAGGAATCACTGAACCTGCACTTAAAAAGAGAAGCAGTGCTCTCTTTGAAATTTGAAAAAGAACATGGCTCGTCAGATGAAAGACACTCACAGAATACTCGAAGAAGATACCAGATGGAAGTAGTAATACACACACAAAAAAAAAAGAAAAAAAAAAAAGAAATCAACACGGCAACCAACGGGCTTCGCTCAGTTGGGACACCCATAAACTATTGCAATGGCAGACCTGAGTCTGAACCCAGATGGGAACCAGATGAACGAGATTCCTAAAAATGATCGAGGGCCGGTCAGTTCCACAATGACTTTTTTTTTTTTTTTTGAGACTAATTCTTTGAAGCCGAACTTCCACAATGACATGGCGAGGCTATCGGGCCTCGCTCCGCTACACAGCACTCTACATGTATTTGGACGCTTGCTGGTCCCTATACAGTCACAATGTTAGAGTCGTCCCCGAAAGGCCAAATACAGCTGTGACTACCGCACGTTGTGTTCGGGGGAAGACCACGATGCCTCCTCTCTTGGAGAGCGTACGACCTTCATCTCCCCCACATATCGAGAAATTGGCAGTGTGTTAACTTTGATTTTTCTTCTGATAGAAACACGACAATTTATCCTATCTTTTTATAGTTAATCAAATGCTTAAAAAAAAAAAGAAAAAAAGAAAAGAGCATGGTTCATCAGATGAAATACACTCACAGAATAATTGGAGATACCACAAGCGAATACCATATAACCTATCATAGGGGCTCGGCGGAGAATGAGTCTCGTCTCCTAGTATCATGGTCATGTGCTGATGGTCATGATGTCCTAGTTCACGTCTCATCAAGCACACTCCGCAATGTGAACATTGTTGCACTCACGTGACCTAATGCCCCTTCCCTTGAGAGCGCGGCATGGCTTTTCGACGGCTTCTTAACCAACATTTGTCCGGACTGGTGGGCGGAGCACCGGATTTGGATAAGTTATCAGTGTTATGGTCTTCTTTTTTATTCCATATTTTTGCCATCGATGTTCGTACGTACATATTCTTCTTATTTAGGTTTATTGATACTTTTGCATACATCTTCTTAGGTTAAACGTACGTCAAGGGAGTGTGGATTGAGAGTAGGGGGGAGAGAGGGGGGGGCGGCGATGGGGCAATGCCTCAGAGGGACAC